CAAACTATGCTTCTTACATTGTTGAAACTTCCGCCCTCCGGCTCTATCCAACAACAGTATATAATTAGCGTGTGATGTAGGCACGCTATGTAAAAATTGACTACAGTCATTTTTCATGCGAGCGTACCAAACAAACAATAGGGCAGGCCCGACTGCTTCGCCAGTCCTTGATCCAGTCCCCAGATTTCTGCGACAGCTCGTCCAAGGACTTGGCGCAAGCGGGAATCCAAAGCCGCCCTTGGCTTCTCTTTTTCGTTTGGGTGGCTCGGCTTTTGTCGCGGACCCCCAACAATGGCTGGTGTCCTTTTGGTTTCCCACTAAAAACCAACCATAAGGTGGTTCGTCGAAGAAAAGACCTGTGATGTCCTGTGCAGCTTAGTTCATTGAAGCCAGGCGCGATGGGCACGGAAAAACAGGGCTCAAACACGGCGCGGATTCATGCCAACACTACGAATTCAGAGGCTTGTTGCTGGATGGAATCACGGAGACAAGAAGTGCGGGAAACGTGACTGTTAGGGTGTCTTGGAAAAGCCCGCTTCTTGTGTGATTGCGAAACATACCTAACAACAACACATTGTCTAAATGGCGGAGGCTGCAAGTTGCACGGCGATCCATGTGTATCCTGGGCCCAAAATGACCATGGGTAACTTGTCCCATGTGTTGAAAGTCATCAGTTATGGTGGTTTCCCCAATGGTCACATGCTTGTGTGGACCTTTTATGGCATGCGCGCACATAGTCTGTCCTTTTTGCGAGTAGCGTTTTTGTTGGGTGTTTTGTTTTCTTCAGGGAAGCCAAACAAAAACACATGAATCCACCGCCAAAAAAAACACCCTCACCCGGTGATCGGCCGACCGCAGCCCGCCCGAAACCCGAAAAAGAAAAAACATTGGAAAAAAAAACGCGCGCGCGCGCGCGCGCGCGCTGCACCAGACGCGCCCGCAACGCGCAACCCGCCTGCGCATAGCTGGCCTCCACCCTCCTCAGCGTCTCCAGCGCCACGTCGTCCAAGACCTCGTGGAAGTTCCGCTGCGTGGCGCGGGACTCCTCCACCAGGCGCCACGCCTGACGGAGACGAGGCGCCCTTTAACGCAACGCCAGCGGCGGGAGATGTGGCGGTGGTCAAAACCGTCGTGGTTGATCCCATATTTTGGTTGGTAGGCGCACCAGCCATTTTAGTCGATTTTGGGTCAAAACCATTTTGGGAGGGGGTTTTCGGTGAACTCGCCACCCATGTCAGAACCTATCTTGCTTGGATTGGGTCCCGTTCGCACGAGTTGGATTTTGACAAGCCCAATGGCCATGTCTGGGCTGATCGAAACGGAGCCTTGGCCATTCCTCATATCCCAAAAGGGAAGTCAGCAAGAAAGCCTCTGGCGGATGACCTTTGAACGGCCCAGTTTGTGACCTTGTTGAGGGGTTCCGGATTGAAATATTCGGGAGCTTCTGAGTTTTGACGGGTCCATGTTTTGGACCAACCGCCAAATTGAGGGGTTCCGGATTGAACAATTCGGTCAAATCCGTCTCTTCATCCCTGCCACTCAATGAAGCAACCTGCAGGGACTGGCCACAAACATATTGAAGACTTTGGACCTTCACAAATCAAATTGATGAACTCAATCTTTCCTGCTCAAAACTGATGAAGAAACCCTCCCTAGTCAACTTGACAGTCTGCTTTACCCCAAGCACCACCCAAATCGCAACTCAAACCTGCGCCAGCCACACCTCCAGCAGTCGTCCCGAGTTCCACGCCGACAGCAGCTCCTTCTGCTGAGACTCCAGGCTCACACTGGAGCCTCTGGCAAGTCGTGTAGCGCCCCTCCAGCTCTCCTCGTTCCGGTACTCCTACGGTTGACTGAAAATTGTAGCTTCTGCTAGTTCTTACTGCGCGGAAAAGGGCTTACGTTCTTCCCGGGCTCGGCGCGGCTGTTTCTTTTTCTAGGTCCGGCAAAACGGCCCCGACCCAGAAAAGCCGCAAGAAAGGTTCACCAGTTCGAAGAAGCCACTGTTTGGAGTGGGTGGCGGGGCTTGAGTTTCTTTGGGGGCGCTTTTGTTGGTTTAGGTTAGCCAGGTTTGGGCTTGGTTTTGTGCTGGCTTAGGGTGCGCTGGGTTCAGGGTTGGCTTCGGGTGGGTTAGGGTTGGTATACGTTGGGTTTAAGGTGGGTTTAGAGTTGGTTTAGGGATGGTTGAGTTGGTTTAGTAGTGGTTACGGATGGGTTTACGTAGGGTTGGTTTCGGGTGGATTGCCTCGTGCTAATTTGCGGAGTTTTTAGGGCTGGTTTGGGGTTGGTTTAGGGCTGGTTTAGGGTTGGTTTAAGGGCTGCTGTAGGTTCGGGCTGGTTTCGAGTTGGTTTGGGGAGGTTGGGGTTGGTTTTTAAGGTGGGTTTAGGGTTGCTAAAGGATTGGGTAGGGTTTGTTTAGGGTTGGAAAAGGTGTGGGTTTAGGGTGGATCTAGTTGGGGTTTTGGCTGGGTGTAGCAGGGGTTTAGGATTCATTTAGGGTCGTTGGGGCTGGTTTAGGGCGGGTTTAGGGTAGGCTTCGGCTGGTTTAGGGATGCTTTAGTGCTGGTCTAGAGCTTTGGGTTGGTTTAGGGGTTGCTTCGGTTGTGTAGGAGGTGATTTTGAGGTGAGCCACAATCAAAACCCGGTACTAAAATGGTTGACCCAGAACCATGTAAAGAAGGAAGAAGGCGGCCGCAGCTATTTGTGGTTGGGATTGTCCCTTACTTACCTTCATCTACCCAGGTTTTGAATGTGGCTCAGGTGGCTTAAAGCTGGTTCAGCGTGGGAGTAGGGTTGGTTTAGGCTGGGCTTCGGATTGGAGGGCTGGCAGTGATGCTTGCTGAGAACGTGGAAAATCCAAAGCTACAACAACCACCACAAGCCACAAAAGCAAGGAAACAGCCGCGAAAGCCTAGGCAAAAAACTCGGGCCCTTCTTACTATTCCCCACATAAGACATTTCGAAGTCAAACTCCTCAGAAGTGGACAACCAGTTCAAGCAACCCTTCATTGATTGGTGCTTTAGATTGGTGGTCCGGGGATTAGAACCCATGCTTCCGGCAGAGGACAACCAATCCAACTCGCCGTTGCTTGGAAGGAAGCTGACGAACTAGCGGCTAGCAACTAGCGGCACTGCGGCTTTCCCCAGGAAGAGCTCAAGAAGAACCCCAAGAACTTTGGGGCGGGTGTTTTTGTTGGTTTAGGCACCTCGCCAAACGAAACACGAACCTTGCCAAACAACGCCCAACGCCCAACGCCCAACGCGCGCTCGGAGTCCGTGGATCTCGAAGGCGCGGGCGCAAAGGTGGGCCCGCGCTTGAAGAGCGACCGCTCGCTGCGGTTGGGGCTGCTGAGGCAACTGGACGGAGACTCCGGCGCGGCTTTTGGCATTGGGCGCATGGGGCCCGGCTCCGTCTTCGGCTTCGGGCTCGGGCGGTCCAACTTTGGGTCCGCCTGAAAAGTCGCTCGGATCCCAAAGTGAGCAACGACGGGTGGCTCAATTGCTTTGATTCTTATGCCAACCTGTCCAAAAATGCCTCTTTGAGGCCGCTTGCCCCGCCCCTGCCATGGCTCAGCCAAACAGCTTGCCCTGCTCCCTTTTCGTCTTTTGGTCTCATTCGGATCACCAGACTCCCCTCGTGCGATCTCGCGCCTGGCGACTTACCTGCTCCTCATGCCGATCAGCGCTGATGGGCGCGAGGTAGTCACAGGACAAGGGCTTCATCGTCACAAAGCACGAGAGAGGGCCCATGCCCAGGTCGCACAGCGCCAGGTCTCCCCGCCCATTGGCCGCATTGCGACTCTCGTCGCTCCGCCTGGCGGAAAAAAGAGAAGCTTTTCGGGAATCCAAGGCCCAACGAACCAGTAAGTGGGAACCCCTCTCAAGTTGCATAAGGTTGCATACTAAATGGGCAACCAGCCCCATGGTGTTCCCATTGCTCCGAACCAATGGATTCTTTGAGACACGCAAAGCTGGGCGCTCTGGACAAAGGTACGCGAGCTTTCAGCCTTTGATTTTGCTGCATCTGGCCCGAGTTGTCCTGTCCTTTCTGTTGCTCTGTCCCGTTCTAGCAAACAAATTGTGGTCCTCAAATCTTACCAAGGATGACAAAGGAACACACCATGCATGCATTGCCCCATGAATCGTCGAGAGAAGCATTTAAGTCACAGGAGCCACCCCACTACTGCGGATAGACAACATCCAGCACCAGCGATGGATGCAACCCTATGAACACCGGGATAAATCACAGACCGACTGTTGCAATCCACAAAGTCTTTCAACAAATTGCGGCCACTTCCCCACCCGAAGCCAAGGCGCAAAGGAACTCTGTGGATCTTGAAGGTTCCGACCCTTGAGCCCAGAATTTCTCTCAACTCCAATGTTTTGCCGGGGGGAACATGTGGGTGTGTCATTTTTGCGGGTAATCCTGGGCTTTTGGTTGGCTTCAAATTGAAACCACATAGAGCCCACCATTTGGGGGGTCTCAACATGTCAAAGCCTTGACCCTTCCGATTTGGCTTTGATTTCCGATTCCACTTCCCATGAAGACTTGGGTCTCTCTCTCTCTCTCCCTCTCTCGTGGCCTGACATCGGCCATCTCATGCCGATCTCATGCCCCTTTCCGATGCTTTGGCGTGAGCAAATGATTGGGCTCCCGGAAAATTGATGAACCTCCCGAAGAATTAGCATGCAAAAGCCACAAGATTGCTCTGGTTCAAGGTTCAACCCTGCAAAGCCACCACAGACTCCCGTGTTGCCTTGGTGAGTGCGTGATTTGTCTTGATGGGCTGTCGGCTTTTTGCATCAGTTGAGTAACATATGGGTATGGGTCAAAATTAAACCACCAGGGGACCACAGGTTTTAGTCCATGTTTCCATTTTCTAGGTTCGATTTTGGGTACCGATTTTTGACGCACAGCCATATTAGAATGCCTACTTCCTCTGCACCCTGACGCGTGGTCTGGTTCTCCTTGAATGGCCGCCTCTCTGCTAGAGCCATCC